CCTCTGCGCTCTCCTCTCCACCTCTGTTGGTACTACCATTTTATTTTATTGCAAACTGTGAAAAAATGGTACGGTCAGAAGTACCAGAGGACCTCCACTCGCGCGCGCGCTCGTTTGGTCCTCTGGTACTTCTGACCGTTGCTGACCGTACCATTTTTCACATTTTAGTATGAATAGTTCAGTTTAGTACAAGAGAGCACAAGGTCTAGAAAAACGCACTTTCTACATTCTGCTTGGAAACCACTGAAAATGCGTTTGGCCGCCGGCGGCCAAGAGTAATATTCAATATAAACTTTTGGCCGCCGTTAAAAACGACTTTTAGCCGCGGGCGCTCAAAAGGTATTTTTGATATTACGCTTGGCCGCCAACGGAAAATCACTTTTAGCCGCCGGCGGCCAAGAGTAATACTTTTGAAAATCACTTTTGGACGCCAGCGGCCAAGTGCAATTTTCCGTCGGCGGCTAAAAGTTAGGCGGCCAAGTTACCTATCCCCCCGTTTCCATTGTCACAACCAGAAACCAGACCACCAACAGAAAAACGTTACATTTCCTAAAAACAATGCCAAAAATTCGGGAAAAAATCAGAAGAATGTCACTTCAAATTCGGCAAACCCGTCATTTCACGCATTTTCCGTCTAATATTTTTTAAATAAATTTTTTTTCCGATTCATTGAAAACTAATCCATAAACTACTTGAGAATAAGAAAAACGAATAAAAATCGCAAGAAAAAAAAAATACAACAGTGGGCTCAACAGGGAATTGAACCCTGGGCATCGAGCATGTGTGGTCTGTTTTTAGTATGTGTCAATTATAATATTTTGCACATACTAAATACAGACCAAAGGTATTACTCTCGCACAAAAAGCAAGAATCATACCACTAGACCATTGAGTCGGTTGATATTTGACTGTCCCGAACGCCACATGACGATCATCACAGCAGTGGTTTGGATAATTATATGCATTTATGCAGATCAAAACTAGTTAGGAAGTGAAAGGTGGCTACAATGCATAGGAGTCTCTTATATTCTTATATATAGCAATGCCAACTTGGTATATATATGCCTATATCTTATTAGACAAAAATAGAAAAGATATAATTTTGGCATTTGGAATTTCATAATTTTGAAGATTTCATTTCATTTTTTTTACATTTTTTCCATTTTTTCATGCGGTTCTGTTCATAAATTCCTCATTTAATTTAAGGGATTTTTTATTCTAGATCAGAAATAGAAGCAACACGTTGCTCAATTCAAACAATTCAAAATCTCAAAATAAGGCGGGTTCACATCGACTACCCATTTTCCAGCAAAAAAAATGACAATGAGTGGAAATATTCAGCAATGTACATCTACGAATTGAAGAGTCATTCACTGCCATTCAATGCCTAATTCAGAAGATTTTATTAAACAAAACTACTAAATGCTACCCTTTTTTTAAGGTTTTCAAGAAAAAATTATTATTTTGCACGGAATTTTGCATTTCACAGTTTTTTTTAATCTCAATTTAGCTCAATCTCAAAAATATGATATGACGTTTATTTCTTGCTTATGTTAGACATAGATTGTGATTGGTTCATGTTTTTGGTAGGTTTACAAGAAATTATGGCTTTTAAATCATATAAAGAATCCGTATTTGCAATGCTTTACTTAAAATGATATGTATTAATGTGGAAAAAAGCTGAAAAAAAGGAACAACAAACAAAAGGAGAAAAATCTCGAAAATTGTAATCAATTCATGGTTTTGGTAGTGGTTGTGTTGTCCAAACCCTTTCAAACTACTTCAAATAAAAGGCGCCGTTCTTCGGAAAGATGCGATTATTGTTCATCAATTCTTGCATTTGGGCTTCATTGACGCGAATCGTGTAGAAAATCGCTTCTTTCGATGAGCCAAAGTCAACGGTGGGCTTGATATTTTGAGCAAAAGTCGTTGGCGGCTTGAAGTTCTGTCCAAAATCAATGGGATCTTTGTTTGGTTCCATTTTGACGGCTGCCGATGCTTTATCATGATCATCATTGTTGTTGGCCAATGGTTGACCAGGCATCACTTGTTTGCGGAACGGATTGGGAGTCTTCAAACCACCGACTGATGTATGTTTTCCTAAGGCGTCCAATAACATCACGTCGACCATTGTACCGATGGCATCCACTTGATCGATCGGTTCGGTATGCTTACGCTTCATGTGTGCATCCAAGTCAGCGGCTGGCATTTTGTTACGGCAAACACCACATTGAACATGCACTTTGCCTTCGTCTTTCGGTGGTTCGATGCCCGATGCACTCCTGACTGATGTTGGTTTGCTGTCTATCGCTTTAGCATTGGCCTTGGATGACATTTCTGATGCAACATCCGATAATGGTGTGTAAATATCGTCAACAATATCCGAATGTACCTTTGCATGGTGCTTTTTTAATCGGCTCTCCAATATCTTTGACCGACAAATTTCGCAATGAAACAGTTTTTCAACCATTTTCCACCACTTGAGATTTTGAGTTGAACACAAAGTTATTCGTGTGAAAATACAATTTTCAGCCTTTTTCCGTGAACTGTGTGCGGCTTTATTCGTGCAAATGTTTATCTGTCAACTTGCGAGAGAGGAATGTAATACGAGAAAAAAAAGGGCTGTCAAATTCATTAACCGAGATGGAGCTCGTATGCAAATTTTTTCAGTTTGACAGTTCGCATATTCGTTAGTTTTGTGCAACCACTTTTAAGGTTACTTGATTTTTTTCTTTCGTTACCTTAAAAAAAATTATTGAATCTTTGATGCAATCAAAATTACAAATTATTTCATATTTTTTCCATTTTCTTTCATTTCATTTTTTCAACATCAATTTTTGATCCAATTGCATAGAGCAAATTTTCAGCATGGAATATTCCATTGGTTTTCTTTGTCATAAACAAAGCCACTTTGACACTTCATCGACAATGTGCACACTGTCGCCGGTCGTAATGTAAACATTTCGCTGTGAATGAGAAGAAAAAATTGGCCACTCAGCAAGAATGGGAAACAAAAGGAAAGATCAAATGGAAAGAGCAGAGGCAGCAAGAAATTAAATATTCGGGTAAGTCGCATGAAAAATGACGTTCACTATCAGTTTTAGTTACAGACCGAACATAAACGAAGTCTCGACAATGTTATATGAAAAGAATGTGCTGATGCTAGTGCAGTGAAGTCGTGAAAGACACTCACAACATTGAAACTGGGTATACTTTGATTTAGAATATGTAAATTGTTGAGCAAATCAAAAACTTCTATCAAACACAAATTAAATTTAGAAATACAAATACTGAATTTAGGTTTTCAGAAACTGTGCGAATCGACTCCAAATTCCAATCAGAGGCTAGCGATCGTTTTTCATTGGAACATCTAATTTGGAATCGGACATCAATCGTATGTCTCGGAAAAATCAAATATGAATTTGCTATCGTCGATACAAACCTTGTTTACTGTGATCACTGTCACAATTTCATGTTTGAGTAAGTACTGAATTGTATTTTTTCCACCTTTTCGGTTGAAATTTTATTTTGGCATGACTTGATACAACTAAAAAGTTGTCTTTTAACCTAAAAATGGGCTCAATTCAAAGTTTTGTTTTTATTTTTCAAGGAAATTGATGAATCTGTATGGAAAATTGTGCATATTTCAATTCATAATTTAATTTTTATCACCCAAAACAGACATACTTTTTAAAATTGCATCGTTTGGAGTAAGAGTTACAATAAACTTACTGCGAAGTAGCTACGTTTTGGGGGCACTGGGAATTGGACTGATTGGTTTTCTCATTGGAGACATTTCAATTGTTGTGGACTGGTGTGTGTTCATTGTGAAGTGTGCCATTACTTTCTTAGTGATTCTGATTTCTCTGGTACGTCATTTACCATCACGCCAACTCCGATTGCTGGGAATCGCTCTTTGTGCCGTAATTTTAGTCGTAAATAAAATTCAAGTAGACTTTAGGAGACTAAAACAAAAGGTAGTAATTTCATATATTTTAATGTCGTTGCAGTACTTCGTTTGGCCTATATTTCAATGCAAGAAATGCTTCCATAGCACTTAACATTCAAGAAGTAGCACTTGCGGCTATCAAAATTACAACAGAATATATATAAATCGTGAATTTTGCAAAAGAACCCTTTATCGGTCAAGCAATTGTAGGAAATGTGAATGGGCAAGCGGAATGATGAAACGTGATTTTTTTGTAAAATGAAGAGCCCCTGAAAAATTTTTGCAGTAAAAGTGCCCCACAAAAAATTGTCTGAATTTGTTTTCATGTACCACTTTAAATGAAAAAAAAATTTACGGGGTGATTCAAATTGCATATTTTTCGTGAGGCTCTCTTTCATACAATATTTTTTGGTTCAATTTGAATCGCCTCGTAAACAATTTTTCAGTAAAAGTGATATATGAAAACCAATTCAGACAATATTTTTGTGGGGCACTTTTACTGCAAAAAATTTTCAGGGGCTCTTCATTTTACAAACAAATTACGTTTCATTATTCCGCTTGCCCATTCATGTGGACATCAAATTTCCAATGATACAATCAGGGATTTGATCTATAAATTCATTTTAAGTAATTGCAAAATGCCCATAATAAATTTTGTTCGTCGAATATTTTGCGAATTAAAAGAATTACATTCACAGTCCTGAGCTTTTCCGTATGATGTTTTTCTTTCAACATTTTTCTTCTTCTTGAAATAAAGACGACTAATTTGATGAGTTCATCGACGCATATGTATTAAACATTGACATATCAATCCGTATGAAGCATGTCATTCGGAGTGTATTTTGCTTTCCAATCCATTCCATTGTTGAATTTTTTTTAGAAGAGTAGTGTACGGTTTTGCTTTATGAAACCCACCACATTTAAACTGCAGTGCATCTACTGCAAACATTGACTAATAATAACAAAAACGTCTGTATTATAAACAAATAGCCAAAATTGTATGACATCATGCATAAAAGTTGGTTCGGAAAGAAAAAAATCATGAAATATCGCCCAAATGAAACCGAATAAAAGTCAAGCCGGTATGGTATTTCACAAAAGTGTCATGAGATTGCATTTTATAAATATGAAATTTAAACTGACTTTTTCCTCTTTTTTACGACGCTTCAATTCGTCACAAATGAGTCTCTGCTAGCACAAACAACTGTATTCATACAACTGCAATTACAAACACATAAAAAAACGTCGTCATGAGCGTAAAGTCTTAAAAGTCCTACAAAGCAGCAAAAATCATAAAGCAACAATTTAATCACAATGATTTGATTCAAGAAATTAAATTTTGTGAATTTTCTATTGCTCTCTAACAGAATTGTGATAATAAACAAAACCAAAAGCCATAAGTCAGCTAGTGTAATATTCATAAAATGTTTGAAACCAGAGTGTGTGAATTGTCACCGGTCGAACGGAATTGAATGTAAACAAAATGATAAGCGCAATTCGATCGCACAACGGCTGGAATAACGAACAAAAGCAAAAAAGAGATCAAATGCACAGCTCTGTCAAATGCAAGGCTAGTTAATCAGTTGAATCTTAATCGCCGGACAGAGCACATGAGCTGCTAGATCAAATGCATAATTTTTGCTGATGTTCATTTAAAAGTTGTTGTAGGAACTCCTCCGTATGATAAGGCACAATTTTACTCATAAATAGTCCACCAATTTGGGCAAACAGTTAGGAAAAAATCGTGATTTTATATTTTATTTTTACTCAGTGACAAAAAGAGGTATATTTTTATTCACAACTATTTCACTGTTTCGATTCGAAGAATAACAGCCATTTCGATCGGCAACTAATTTATTGAAATATTACTTGTTTTTGAGACAAATCATTCGGTGCAAATGAAAAACCAAAATTTGTGTTCAATTTTTGAAATTCAGTTCTATTCGGAAACAAACATATCCGTAAATTTATTAAAAAGCGTTTTGTATTTTTTTTTGCATATTTTCAAGTTATATTAACAAAAATATTCTATTAAATGCATTTAATGCATATGATATCCAGTTTCAAATGATGATAAAAAAGAATTAAAACCAACTTCAATTGACATCGCTTAAATTTAGAAGATAAAAATTATTTTATGTAACAAAATTCAGAAAACACTTAAAATAAGCCATAGATCTGTTTATCTCATCGATTTATTTCATTATCGCACCAGTTCAATGATAAAGTAGGTCGTTTATTGTTTTATTGAATCCAATTAAATCAGTTAGCAAAATAGTTGCTTCACAAAGTCGTGTAGCAGAAGTATTATTTCAAATTGTAAATGTTTTCATGGATTTTTTATTTTTTGCTCAACTTTTTCTCGTTGCTCTCTATTTCTTTGATGATTTCTATGAATTCTTTGTTTTTCTTAAACAGTTTTTTTTAATATTTTCCGTCATTTCAATTTGCTTCAGTTTAATCCAATTTTTTTTAAATATAATTCCCACGTTTTATGCCAAAAATTTATTTCAATCAGAACAAAAATGTTTATTTCCATCATCCAAAATTCAATATTTTAACAGTAAATGATTAAAATCTTGTGCGATCGTGGGCCTTAGGAATATTGCCTTGAAGGTCAAATGTTAAATAAAGGATTTATAATAAATTATAAATCCAGACAATGAAATTAAATTCAAAGAAAAAAAAAGAAAATCAAGTTTTTTTGAAACAAGTATCGAAAAAGTAGCTTGCAAAATTTCTAATTTCCCTTTTTTATTCTAGTGGTCCGATTTGTGTAAGATTTTTTCAGAAATTTTCAAAGAATTGAATTTGCATCCAAATTAATTTTAAATTTTTGGTTCTTTTACAGAAATGAGTGATACACAAAAGTATGTTCCACCATCGGACATGAACATGGGCCCCAAGTCGAATGCACATCAGAAGCGGAATTTGTTTGTGGACGCATTGGCGCTGTTATTTGGAATGAGCTCATGGCTTGGTGTAACGTCTTCATACCTCCAATTGCCATTGATAATATCGACGATGCCTGAGGGCTGGTCGATGCCTGCCTACATGACTGTGGTCGTGCAAAGCTCCAACATCATTTCCTTTGCTTATGTTTTCTACCAAAAATACGCACCAAAAAAACTGAACGATGCTTATTTAATTTACTTCACCATGTCCATGGGCTGCTTAACGGCAATTGGAATGGCGTTTTTCTACCAAAATACAATCACCATCAACGGCAAAGAGCATAGTATTGCTTACCTAATATTTGTGTTTCTGTTTGCGACCGTGGGAACGGTGAGCTCCGTTCTATTTTTGCCGTTCATGGGTCGTTTCCGCGAGTGTTACCTTGTATCTTACATGTGTGGCCAGGGTATGAATGGCCTATTCACCAGTATTTTAACATTAATCCAGGGGATTGGCGTGCCTGAATGCATACCAGACACCGATGGAAAACTCATTAAATACATTCCACCGGCCCGTTTTGGGACACAAACATTCTTCCTGTTGGTATTCGGATTATTGTTGATCAGCACTATCGCCTTCATTTTGCTAAACAAAATGGAAGTGTGCAAAAAAGAATTGGCCGCCGGCATTGTAATGGAAGGCAATGAATATTATTACGAAAACGAAGACAGACATGATGTTGCAACTGGTGAAGTCCCAGAAAATGTACTGAATTTGTCCACTTTCAACTACGTCAAGTTACTCTCAGCCATGGTTCTGATTGGATTTTTTGGCAATGGCATTTTCCCTGGGCTACAATCTTATTCATCACTTCCGTATGGATTTTTGATTTATCATCTCGTTGCGTCACTCGCTTCCATTGGAAATGCCATCGGCAGCTTCATCGCTCAATTTGTTCCACATACTTCGATTCGCATTCTGGACTTTCTCATCGTCATTGTCATCGTACTCGGTGTTTACATTTTCTATGCTGCTGTTAAAAACCCATTTCCACCATTTCTTCACACGGAATTTGGACCCGTTTTTATGGTAACTTTTCTACTTGTTTTTTTTTCAATAGATTTTTCTTGACATTTTAATTAATTTTTATGTTTCTTCTCTTTACCAGATTATCCAGTGGATGTTCTTTATCGGTATTCAAAGCTATATGAAAACGTCGATTGCTACCATTTTCCGCTATCAAGAAGGCAAATCTCTGGTTCTCATGGCATCCACCAGTCTCGTTTGCTCTGTCGTCGGATCCATTTTTAACCTTTTCATCGTTACCTACACGCAATTGTTCGTCTCGTATGAACCATGCTAAGCTAAAATTCTCAACAATCGAATAGGTGTGGTTTTGCTTGGGGCAAAAATCTATTTTTTTATTTTCGAAGTAGAAAAAAAAATTATGAATTCATAAGTAATGTTCCTATAATATCCTAGTAAGGTATTAAAAATGTTGAAACATAAAATTGTAAGAGCCTCATGTAATGATAGCACGAATTCGTGTGAAACTTATTCACACCATTTCAATTTTACTTTTCCGTACACAACGTGTCAAGGGAAAGTAAAGGAATTGGTCCCGAAAACTTTTTTCGCAAAATTAGCTTAGATCATCATAAAAACTCATGAAACGCGTAGAAAACCACTTTTTGAGACACTTTTCCGTTCGTGTGCCGTCGTCGTTGTCGTTGTCGTTGTCGTTGTCGTCGTTGTCGTCGTTGTCGTCGTTGTCGTAGCTGTTTGTAAACACGATAACTCAAAAAATAATTGAGATAATCAAAATCTGGAAATGCCAAAAGTTTTGTATCTGAAAAACTTAGTTTAAGTTCGAAGATGAGCCATTATCGATTTGATCCTAAGGTACTTGCCCTAAGAAAAACCTCGAAAAATTGACACTTTTGTATGGTAGGTACCCGTTAATCGACTCCGATTGACTTCAAACTTTCTGGGAATTCATTTTTTGAGAGAAAAATAAGATTCTGAAATTTTGAAACCAATCGGAATCGATTTACGGGTACCTCCCATACAATTTTTTTTGAAATTTTGACTAAAATTACCGATTTTTGGACAATTTTGTATGGGAGATACCCGTTAATCGATTCTGATCGGCATCAAACTTTCTAAGGTTTCATTTTTTGGAGAAAAAATAAGATTCTGAAAGTTTCATGTTGATCGCATTTGCAGAAGTTTGATTTTTTGTCCTCAATTTTTGTCGACATTTTCTTGGAAAAAATTGAGGGCCAAAAACCAAACTTCTGCAAATGCGATCAACATGAAACTTTCAGAATCTCATGTTTTCTCCAAAAAATGAAACCTCAGAAAGTTTAAAGCCAATAAGAATCGGTTTACGGGTACCTCTCATACAAAATTGTCGAAGTTTTAGTTAAAGTGACCGATTTTTCACTTTATTTTCATTATTATATTTTCACTGCCTTTATTTCAAGAAAATTCACAAAAAATAACCAAAAGTACCTACGAACAACGCAGGCCAACGTACGGAAAAGTTCGGGATTACCAATGTAATTCTTTTTATTATAATTTTAGAATGGTTAAGGCAATTTAGCACTCCAAAAAATGTCAATTTAGCTCATTTTTAATTTTCTTCAAATTGAACTAAATCATATCATGTCATTATACATAGAGTAATTTAGTTTTAGAAGAATAGTATTCAAAATGCGTTATGTCAAGAATTTTCTTTTTCGACTGATCCGAGCCGATCAATGAAATTTGTCAACGATTGAGATGAGCAAAATCCGTATTGTTCTATAGATTTATAAATTTGTTATTAAATTAATAGGGATTTTTTGCTATTAACCATTTTATTAAATTCATAACAGATTTGATGAAAAATATTATTTAGAAAAAAAATCGGAAAAAGTGTCATATAAAAAGCATGTCAGTTATTTCAAGACGCAGTTTTCTTTGAGATTTTGTCGTCTGGCAAAAACTTACACGACTTTTATATCAAACTTGTTTTCTCAATTTTTTTCAAATAATATTTTCCATCAAATCCGTTATCAATTCAATAATACCAACCAACAAAAAAAATATATCGAAATTTAATATTATTGAATGAGTATTTGGGTTCCATCTCTAGTCAATGACGGCATAAAACGTATTTGTGCTTCTTATTGGGTACGTTTTATTCATGATCATGTTGCAATATGATGATCGAAAAAAAAAAACAAATTTCATTCAGAGATATTTTTTCAAAAAACATTAATTTCCAATCATTCAGTCGCAATGAACATTTTTGTAGAATTAAACACATCAATTGTCAATTCAGGTTATTCTTGACCTATTTCATTGAGAGAGGTAATTCAAAGTGTCTACACGTAATAAATTATTGTATCATCGTAACAGATTCCATAAAAAAATAAAACACTGTTATCAACTGATTTCACACAGATAAGATAAAGCGTTGGTCTAGGTCTTAGTACTGATCAACGTTATGTTCTGAATGATGTAATTGAAGTGATAAGTCTTTTTGTAATAAGAATTAAGAATAGTACCAAGTTAAAATGTGTATAAAAAAAAGACAGGTCCTACCAAAAAAAATAGACCAAGTTAGAAAATACAGGAAAAGGTGAATTATGTTGAATATAGCGATAATTATTTGTTTCAATTTGATTTACACTGTGCTATCCTGATAATGTTTATTGTAATAATTGTCAATGTCCAGACAATCTGTGGCTCAAAACTACATCTTTCCTTATTAGGAATTATATTCATAATTTTTTCCATTAATTCCTGAATATTTTTTTAATATTTCGATGTGCTACCCAAATCATACCATGTGTCGACAAAAATTCATGGACAAAAATGTGCTGGTCCAAAATAAAATTAGAAGTATTTTAATGTTAATAGAACTCACCCTGTTTTTTTTTCGTTTCAAGATTCGACTTTTTTTTTCTTCGAAATTAAAACGAATTCTTTTATTGGAATTCTTTTCTTCTTTGAATATATTAATTTGTTAATTTTGCTGAAACCATTAAGCTAGCATTAAATTAAGCCCAATTTTCGAAAAATATTAATATTTTCAGAGACATATTTTTTGGTATTTAATTTTAATGAAACGGTCACTAAAATTAAGAAATGGTTACTGAAAATCTGGAATTGGTTGCGAAAAAGAGGAATTAATCTCCAGAAATATTAATTAAAAAAAATTAAATGGTCACTAGAAAAAAAGATATGGAGTACTATTTAAATTAAATGAATTTTGAAAAAAAATAACTGATCTCGAAAATTAAAAGGGAATTTTTTTCAAAAATATAAAATTGATCTCTATTTATAAGAAGTGATGCCTAAAAATAATCTCTTATAGAATTCGAAAAAAAGGAAACGATCTCTAAAAATAATAAAGCGGTCACTTGTTGTAAAAAATCTCAAAAAAAAGAAACGGCCTCCAAAGAAAAGAAACGGCCTCCAAAAAAAAGAAACGATCTCCAAAAAAAAGGAAACGGCCTCCAAAGAAAGAAACGATCTCCAAAAAAATGAACAGGTCACCAAAAATAAACGGTCTCCTAAATAAAAGGTCTTGCCGATGGAGAACATTTCCACCCTGTTGTCCAAAATAATGGACTTCATCCATGGCTTTTATACAGAGCATTGAAGTTGCTGGCTATGTGGCGCTGCTGGTGAACAGATCTGTGCAACAGCAGCTGTTGGTTGCGTGCATATCTGCTGTGAAGCGCGCTTGTTCATTTAACGATTCTCACACATAGTGTTTTTCCCTTGCATTCACAAGGAAACAGACAGAGAAGCGTATACAACAGACTCCGAGAGAGATTTTTATCTTGTTCATTTACCGTTATTTGTCAACAAGTCTGCCTATATCCACGCGTTGCCACTTTACATAGTATACCGTCCATCAAATGTTTGCCATTTAGTTTTATATTGCCCATGCATTAGTTATGGGGATTTTCGTTTTGTTTATTTTTTGTTGTTTGTAAACAAATCTGCATATCTTTTCGCATTGTCTCTGTGTATTTATTATGGATTTATTATACTATGTACAGTGCAATGCAAAAAGATGGGCAGATTTGTTTACAAACAACTAAAAATAAACAAAACAAAATCTTGGCAATCTAAAGTTTTACTAAATGAGGAACATTTTACGTCTCTGTACTAAATACAGATCTCTGAGCTAACGAATATGAGCTAACGATTATGACCAAATATTATGTTATGTGTATACTGTATGTAGTAACTGTTTTCATGCGACGAATCGCTGAATTTTAAGTTACGCTGGCCGCCGCACCATCTAGCAGCACAATCGCTGTTGCCAGTCAATGCCATGATTTAGTTTTGTTAAGATAAAGCAACTTTTAAGTTGCTATAGTCTCGTAAAAACGTCCCAAAAGTACTTTTTCAAGTAGCTCCCTAACAAATGTTCGATTTTCCATCGGCGATCTTCACAGGTCAGCACATGAAACAGACCTAAAAAAACATCGCTCTAAAACCATTTTTTCGTGTTCTAGCTTTGAAAACGAGTAAAAATCATATTTTTTGGGGATCACATTACTTTTCTCTCAGGACATGGTCGTGTGGAAAAGTAAAAAATGAGTTTTATTTTTCATTTTTTTCTTACCCCCACCAATTCATTATTTTTATAGATTATTTCTATATTTTTGGAGACCGGATCCCTTTTCTTCCCGCAAAAATTTCAATGTTTATGGGAACCATTTCATTTTTGCATTTAGTGATCATTTTTTTATTTATAGAGATAAGAAGAAGCTTTTTGAATGCAATTTTTTATTTCTAAAGACCAGTTTATTTTTTAAGGTAGCCAAAATAAGATTTTCTAAAGACCGTTCTATTTTTTTTGATGACCAATTCGTTTATTTTTGCAAATGATTTCATTTTTTCTAGATGACAATTTATTATTTTCGGCTGTATAATTTTATTTTTATCTGGAGATCGTTTTCAATTATTTTTTGGAGATCATTTCATTATTTTTAGAAATTCATTCCCATTTTTGGAGATCATTTCATTAAAAATAAATACCAAAAGTCACCTTCCCATTTTCGAAAAATATTAATTTTCATATTCAAGTCGTAATTTATTTCAATCTCAAAAAATTCGATGTATTGCATCAATACTATTGATTCAATAGTAGGTCATCAAGTTGCATCAATAGTAGTACTATTAAAACAAAACTAATTTTTAAAAAAACAAGCAATAAAAAAATAAAAATGTGTGTAGATTCTTTTCCATATGGTTAGCATATCACCCTTATTTTTGCGGATCTTGTTCAAGGTGTTGTTCAATGATTTTCTTCAGATCGGCATTTGTGACCCGAAGTTGTTGTTTTTTTCCGTTGCTCGATACAGTGGAAGATGATGAAGTTCTTCGTTGGCGTTTCTGTGGCCGCTCACTGGTCTCGCTCCCTCGGCACTTTAATTCACTTTGAACTGGAAATTCGGCATATTCCCCATCGGAATCGGAATAAACTCTGGCGGTCAAAATGAGTTCACAGAAATTGTCATTCACCTCGGCGCTCAGTTTTGGTCGTTTCAATTTATGGACCGACTTTGGTTGTGATGATTTTTTAGTGGATTTGACTTCTTCCACCTCGTTGATCATTCTGTCATTTTTGACACTATTTTTTGGCACATCCACAGTTTCCTTAGACGTTTGGGTGGTGCTCTGTGTAGTTTTGACTGATGGATTAGCATCTCTAAAACGTGATTTCTTCGTACGGCGCTTAGACAAATTGTCAATCTCTCGATTATCTTTGTCACTGGTTGCAGTGACACTTTTTTCGGCCTGTGCATGTGGTTCATCTGCGTTCTTAACTTTTGATGATTCAAATAAACTTCCTTCAATAAAATGATCACTTTCCGAACCGCTTTCGGCACTGATGTCCATATCATATGCAGTGGTATCGACGTATTCGTCTGCGTCGCTCATTCTATGAGTATGACGAATACCGGACAACATTTCCGCCCAATTACGTTTTACTTTATCATTGAAGGTATTTTGAATGGAATCAAGCGGTTTTGGTTCAGTCGGTGGTTTCGGGATAATTGCATCTGGTGGCGGTACATTTGGCATTGGCGGCAGTATTGGAATCATTTGCACCATTGGCAACGCTGGCATTTTGATATGTGCAACATTTGGCACTGAATGACCAACCGTTTGTTCAGTGGACAATGACACTGGATCCACCCGTTTAAATTGCCCATGAGTTGAAAGGATATTTGGTGCTCCATTCTCCCATCTGAAGCGCAACACCGAATGAATTTCTTTATTGTGTTGACCAAGCTTCTCTTTTGGCACCTCTAAACCGCATAGAACGCATTTTCGTACATCTTCCTTCGCGTTCTCCGTGGTTTCTGGGGCCGAATTTGTGTTACCCATTTTCGATCGTATGAAATTACCTGGAATGGACACAAAGCCAAACGAAAAAGAAAATGCGATTGAACCTCGGAATGTTTAAGTTGGTCAAGACCAAAGGAAATTTGAAAACAAACAATGCTCAGTGAGCAATGCTCACCTTGGTTTAACCAAAGATTTGATTTGTTCTTTAGGAAAATTCGGCCGAAGATATGACTTTTCAAGACAAACAAATTTGATGAAACACATATATTGACAGAGAAAATTTCGATTAATTCACTTGTTCTGTGAGGTCTTTGGTCTGTGAAAAAGAGATAGTGCTGACTCGGTCAAAACTTTGTTTTGATTCTGCCGACGTTGACTAACGTCGCTGTCACTCTATGTGAAAAGAGAAGCAAATAAAGTGGAAACAGTTCAACCGAATGATAAAACAGGAAGGTTTCGATTGAAACCAATTATTCGTTGATTTTTTCAAAATTCTTTCAAATGAAATCTCAATGAAAAATGAACAATAAGAAAGTAAAATAAACCATACGATCAATTGCGCTAGACATGCAAATAAAGCACAGAAATTTGCCTGAAACAATGACATTTCAATGTTCACCAATTGATGAAATGTCAAATCATGTTTGCTTTTGTTGTTGCAGCGCTAAACACAAATGATTATGACATTTCGGTCAAATGTAACTTCGTTAGCCCGACGATTGTTCAAATAAATCCGTTTTTAGGTGAAAACTATTTTTTTTTCATGTAGGAAAATTCCAGGAATTTTTTTTAGGACAATTAATGTTGTATTTATTGAGGTAATATTTTGTGATATGGTGATTGAGGAGGATTATAATGTTTTGATGAGCACAACTAACGCTGAATAATTCAGCCTGAAATGTAATTAGAATGGATTGAAATTTAAAACTTAAACAATAACTTGTATAACTCTTTGAACAATAGTTTAGAAATCAATTTTGGGATTGCAATTTTAAGTAGATGTTGTCAAAATATCAATTCCTACTTTACGATTCGATTCTTCTTTAGAAGAAGAAAAAAAGTTTGTTCTAATATTTTAGTTGTGTGTTGAATTTTTCCAACTGTTTTCTGTTTTTCAAAAACTCGATGTGGGTCTTTTTCCTCCAATTATTCTTGCGTTGATTGCAGTAAACCGTTGCAATTTACATCTACACGATTCAATTTGTACAAACGAATAAAAGTGACCTCCGACGATTTTGAGATCACTTTCAAACTTTCCTAAAGACACTTTTCAGAAAACTCCAACCTGAAAACCATAAAATCGTTGCTCATCAAGTTCAGCTAGCCTTGTCACCGCACCAATACTATCGGTATCGAATTCAGACTTAATTGGGCCAATATTGTGTGAATGAAAAAAATATATTAAAAAAATAGATCGGATTTCCGAATGTATTTTATTGATTCTATTCTAAGTTCTATAATAACACTTTCTCATTCTTTTTTATTAATTTCTATTCACTTCAGTCTCGTGAGATTGCAAAAATGCTTTAGAAATCGCTTTGTTTATGGTCCAAAGAAGCGGATATGCAATTTGTTGATCTGCAAATGCACTTTTCGAATCACTTTCATCGCATTCTTCAAGAAAATCATCAAAATTAACGGGAAAAGCTGTGATACCCGCTAAATTCCTACTCTTAATGAATTCCACTTTTAGTCGAATCGAATCAGCATGTTCAGACTCTAAACTATAAAACTTGGCAGTCTTCTGTTGTGGGCCCTTCTTAATAAATAAGTTAGCAACTTTAAGCTTTCTCGACATTTCACATGCATGACTCGCACCCCATGTGTCCTCGAACTGAATACTGTCGGTTTTATGTGTGAATGAGTGTCCTAAAAACGATACCCCAATAACGATTTTAGACGACAACACATTCGATTTGATCAAATTGTCGAAAAATTGTTCAGTTTTTGTTGCATTCAGCGTGTCAAGGGCCACATTTCCAGAATGGCCACGAAAGTCATACATTGGCACAAAGTTCAGGAGGTCCAAGTGTTCAGATAGAGCGGTAACATTCAGAGATTTAGCTAGGTCTGTGTTGATGCCGGTAAATGCTGCAGTTAATGTCTTATTATTTCCATGCAGGCTCTGTTTTAGCTCTTTTGCGAAGCGGATTATGGCATCTTTGTCAGAATATTTTTCAGTAAAAAGTGACCCAGGGTGGTGACTGTGGTCTCTAGAAGAGAAATTGATAAAATTATAACCAAAAAATTTTCTCTACCATTTCACAATGATAAGGGTTTATTGTAATTTATTTTTTTGGTTAGATAAAAGTAAAGTTTTTTAACGGCTTCGTTTTCGTTTGGAAAAAAATGTTTCAATTTTGATCGTCAAAAAATTTGATCAGATTGAAGATCAGTTAATGAACTAACCTTATGGTGGAGAGATCCAAGAATAAGTCCAGTCCATCGAATCTGTTGTCCAAAATGAAGTCTGTTGCATTCTTTATGAATCCATTTCGATGCTCAGAATCATTGACAATTTTTGAGTAGTCAACAAGAGAATGTTTAATAGCCATTAAAATCTGCGGAATGGACAAAATATGCGCAAAAATTAGTATTTGGACCAAATTGTAGTCGGTTCAATCACTAAAAATTAAAAAAATTCTTAAGCGATAGCGGTAAATTGTGTTCACAGTCGTAGATTTCATTAAATCCATTTAGAAACTTCATAAATAAAATTGATCGACAAATGTCCGAAATAATGCACTTGATAAGCCTTTTTGACTGTTTTATGTACCTTTTCCTGTGCTATTGGCGCGTTATTATCACTTTTCATAAGTAAATAAAAAGAGGAACATTCAACGGTTCCAATGTTATTTAAATATCATTTTTGAGCTAAATAAGAGTAGTTCACAATTACCTTTAAGTGTGGATATTTCTGCCGTAGATGTGTAAATCGTCCATAATCTGATGCGTTTGTCATATCTCGCCAAGGTTCTGATGGTTCAAAAAGGAGTTGAAAAATACATAATTATATCGAAAATAACAGTCAAGTTGAACAAATGATACCTTCATCAGCTGTTGTGTTCCAAATATTGTCGATGCAAACGAGATGCGTGCAAAGATTTAGATTAACATTTTCAATTGGAATTGTGATTATCTTTCGATCTGGTCTCGTTAAAGTGTAGCACATGACAATTTTATCTTGGAATGAACCATGCCGTGATTTATCAGTCTGATTTTCAATTTGAATTTGATCCTCTTTTACTTTTTCATCCGTGGCTACAATAATTGCTGCATTTATGGTACGAAGAAGCGGAAAACTTGTATTTTCAACAGTTGGGATGTTCAAAGTAATATTTGCCATTGATTTAAAATCGACGAATTGGTTGTTTTTGGCTGTGCATTTGCCCTCAAAATCATCATAGTTAATGGGAAACACCATAATTCCACCCAAATCCCGTCTGACAGCAAATCGGACCTTGTTGGCTACGGAGCGCATCGTTTCATATATGTAACGTTCATATTCGGGTAAAAATGTCCAGAGAATCGGTACTGGCTTTTTGGCAGTGCCTAGACCACGAGTGACATCGTACTTTTCTTCTAAATCACAAACATGACCGTAGTCAAATTTTTCAACTTCGGACGAGAAATGATCGAATACCGTTGGTAATAGTTGCAACCCCATGATGATCTTAGCACGCGGAACACCCAAAGCAATCGCACAATCAATGGCTTTTTGCATATTTCGAATACTTCGCATCTCAAGGGCTAATTGATACTGACCGAATTTGAGGCCATCGAAAATGTACCATTGCAAAAAGTGAATGAAGTCGAAGTGATTCGATAGATGAAATGGGTCAATGTTTTCAAGAATTTTTTCATTTACCGCAATAAATGTCGTGGTAAGTGAGATGTTATGCGAATGGAAACTTGCTTTGAACTCTTTCATAAAGTTGAAGAAATTCTCTTGATCGTATTTTTCATCGAAAATGTACTTGTAGTTGTATTCTCTGGAATCATGGAATAGGTTAAGAATTTATAGTTTTAGTTTCAGAGCATTGAGTGTACTGGCTATCAAGCCGCTGCAATTCCAAAGTGCTGATCAAAAGTCGCTATTGATACATTCAGTATAGACGAACCAATAAACAAAACGACCCGTTATTTATTCCCTATAGCAAACGCGCAAACGACAGTGGCTGTTGAATAGCAACAGCTATATATCCAGCGTACTCTGCTCTGTTCAGTTTTGCATTTTTGAATTCATATTTTTGTGCGTATTTGAGCTGAAGTTGTTGACAACATGTGATGTTGAATTGATAGAACTTGCAAATTCTTATTGAGAACTGCAGAATTCTTCAAGTTCATACTAACACATGCATTTTTGTTATTTTTATGAACAAATAATTACACTAATAATTAAACTGGATGACCAACTTACTGATATCTTGAAAAATCCCACAGCAAATCTAATCCATCGAATTTTTGCTGCAAAACAAAATCAGTCGCCATTCTGATAAATGTTTGATTTCGTTCATTACTTTTGGCGATCAGAAGGTAATCACGAAAATTGTGTTTGAGCGCCAACGAAATCTGGAATAGACAAAGTCATAAAATTCAATCGATTTAAATTCCACATTGTTATTCATTTTTAATTGAAATTTCAATGGATTTAAACAAATTTTTTTCTCCAAAATCATAACAAATCAAAGCATGATGAATGTCTTGAGTGGCCCATGAAATTATTACCTTCAAATGTGGAAATTTTCGTCTTAATTTTGTTAGATGTTTGTATTGTTTACTTCTATCTCTTGAATCAGTCCATGGATCTTTGTGTTCACAAATACGAAAGAAAAAAAATCATTAGATTTTCTATTAGAAAACTTTGTTTTTATTTATACACTTTTTTCAGATACACAGTTTGTTTCCAATATACCGAAAGTAATTTCACCGATTGCTAAATAACCTCGTGCAGCTTGGCGTCATTTCCTTCACTTTCATATGTTTGCATTGATGTTTGAACTTTGACAAGTAAGCTTCTACAATGGACGTTAAATGCGAGTGGAGACGCCACAAAAATGACTCCAATATAGTTGATTATTGATCGAACAACTTTGGGATGCAACATTTGGTAGACTGAAATCCGAATGAATCGCACGGCGAGACCTCGTATACAATTTTTTAGTTCAAAGTTAACTTTTTTTCAAATTTTGGCTTCATTTCTCGATAGAACTACTTTCGGTTTATTGACCTGCCACCGCAGGTGTGGAGTTGCGGATATGTATAAGGAAATGTTTCTTAAGAAAACCATTCGATTTATTGGTCACAAATTGATTCATTCAATTTGATTAATTTTTTCTACGTGGTGCTTTTAACACCTTATTATTCATTTCACACTCATACCTTCTTCAGTTTCAAATTTTACGCCCCACACATGGTCGACAGCAATTAAATGTGTACACAAACTGAGATCAACTTTTCCAATTTTGAAGTCGTTTTCGTACTCAACATAACAAACCACATGTTTATTGTGAACTCGATCTGCAAATAACAGAAGTTTTAACTTCAGTCTTCAATATTTCGTTTAATCATTTTCCAAACAAAACATGTTTGTAAATAGAAAACAATGATTGTGCAAAACAAACGCTGAATCACTTTGTTACTGTGCATTATCACCTGTTCCGACTGTAGTCAATAAAAAAATGGTGCAAACCGCTAAGACGTCAACAAATCGCACCATATCGACGTGTGTTGACTGCAAAATTATGTATTCGTTTTACTTTTTCTATTTGAGTAAGACCACATTCCGGTACACTTCACAAAAGCGAAAATACCACTAAAACAGAAATGAAAGTGCTCATCTCCAGTCTTTACACATTAATTAGATTGTGACTTTCATTTCAATCGTTGGATCCGTGTAAATCAGGTTACTCGTCGATCTTGAAGTCTTCTGGTATTCTCAAAATGAATTTCTGAAGTATTACTTTTCCGTACACAACGTGTCAAGGGAAAGTATAGGAATTGGTCCCGAAAACTTTTTTCGCAAAATTAGCTTAGATCGTCATAAAAACTCATGAAACGCGTAGAAAACCACTTTTTGAGACACTTTTCCGTTCGTGTGCCGTCGTTGTCGTCGTTGTCGTCGTTGTCGTAGCTGTTTGTAAACACTATAACTCAAAAAATAATTGAGATAATCAAAATCTGGAAATGCCAAAAGTTTTGTATCCAAAAAACTTAGTTTAAGTTCGAAGATGGACCATTTTCGATTTGATCCAGGGGTACTTGCCCTAAGAGAAACCTCAAAAAATTGACACTTTTGTATGGGAGGTACCCGTAAATCGACTCTGATTGGCTCCAAACTTTCTGAGATTTCATTTTTTGGGAAAAAAAAAGATTCTGAAAGTTTGAAACCAATCGGAATCGATTTACGGGTACCTCCCATACAACTTTTTTGAAATTTTGACTAAAATTACCGATTTTCGGACAATTTTGTATGGGAGGTACCCGTTAATCGATTCTGATTGGCTTCAAACTTTCTGAGATTTCATTTTTTGGAGAAAAAATAAGATTCCGAAAGTTTCATGTTGATCGCATTTGCAGAAGTTTGATTTTTTGTCCTCAATTTCGGCCGACATTTTCTTGGAAAAAATTGAGGGCCAAAAACCAAACTTCTGCAAATGCAATCAACATGAAACTTTCAGAATCTTATTTTTTCTCCAAAAAATGAAACCTCAGAAAGTTTAAAGCCAATAAGAATCGGTTTACGGGTACCTCTCATACAAAATTGTCGAAGTTTTAGTTAAAGTGACCGATTTTTCACTTTATTTATATTATTATATTTTCACTGCCTTAATTTCAAGAAAATTCACAAAAAATAATCAAAAGTACCCCAAGAGAAACGGCCAATATGTTTATACGCTGTCTATCCGCCGAAAATGCACTACAATATATTCACGCTTATTGAACGCCGAATCGAATATATATTCTAGTGTATATTTGGCGTATTCTTCGGCGTGAAACGTATTGAAACATATTCAGGCGCCCTCTGGTGGCCATGAATGCATTCGTTTATTCAATATGTTTCACGCTGAAGAATACACCGAATATACACTAGAATATATATATTCAATTCGGCGTCCAATAAGCGTGTATATATTGTAGTGTATTTTCGGCGGATAGACAGCGTATAAACATATTGGCCGTTTCTCTTGGGACCTACGGACAACGCAGGCCAACGGTACGGAAAAGTTCGGGATTACCAATGTAATTCTTTTTATCTTTCTTAAGGACCCGTATCCACTTTTCAAAACACAAAACCACTTTTGTACGGACAATTTTTTTTGTCACGATTTCAACAACTTGCGCAATGTTTTTTCAACTATTCGTTTCATTCATCAACAGAAAATACCAAATT